TGTCTCTCTTCCCCTTTCTCTGGAATCTCATTTCCACTATGGCGATGCGGTGAATTTTTAATAAAACTACTGTTTTTGTGCGCCATTAAATTATTTTAAATACGTATGATGGTCAAATAAATAGTCAAGAAAATGTGTGATTGTCAATTTAACTTTTTTCATATTTTATCATCGTTGAACCTTTTATGTATTTTCTTTTTGTTCGTTAATGTTTGAACGCTCTCAGTTGGTACTCAAAAAGCTATCTTCATTGAACCATCGTTTTAGTTAATAACACTATTAGGCTGATGTATTACCAGTAACAGTCATGGCCAAAGTTCTTACACCGAAATGTTTTTAATTTAGTGCGTTATTTATGAAATAGGCCGTGTGTTGCTCAGGTCTTTCCGCAATACCATCTTCTCATAGTTAAACAAAAATTCAATACAACAACAAATACCATTTTCCCCAGTAGGGCTATATCCAGTCGGCAGCCGGTTACCTTCCACGTCCCGATTGGACGCGTATTTGCCCACACACTCGACCCTAACCCACTTGCGGGCTGCTCTGACCTGGGGTAAGGAAAACGCGAGGCCCTCCGCGTTCAACACATACTACATGAGCGGCAAACAAACATGCCTGAGGGCGGGACTCCAACCCGCAACCCTTCGGACCGAGGCGCTGAGTCGGTACACTGCTCTTAGCCACCTCGTTCGTGGAGATCGGTAAATACCGATTTTTAAGGACATCGGCACACGAGCGTTGCGTTGACGCGCGTTGCGTTGACACGCGTTGTAGAGTAACACTATCTTAAGCAAAACGGCACATGAGTGCTTTCGCCGTTCCGCGTAAGTACAGTGTAATTAATTATATCGCTGGTGAGCTAGATACCTTATAATAATTAAATACGGCGAATAAAATATGTTGTCAGGTATCAAAAAATGTATTACGCTAACGATCATTTCCATCGCGTAACGATCATCCTCACATCACATGGCAAAACAACACTACCACAGTCTCATACTTCGCTTAGATCACTTAAATTTAAACAATCACGCTTTCGACAAACACATTCGTATTCCGTATTCTGGAAATTGAAAACAGGTCTTGGCACAAAATAAAATTGGAATCCCTTCATACATACAACAACCTCTGAAAACAGAACATGACTTGTCTTTGCCAGCAAATCCCTGAATTATCGTCACCTCTGCTAAAATTAGCACAAAATGAACACACCTAACTCCACTCGCCTTCGCTCGTCCAACCCTCCTCTCGTCGCCACCAGCTTCCCCCGCGTCTCACGACCTTTCCCCTCATATTGGATATTCATCAACTTTTTATCTTTTTCTTCGGCGTTTTATGATAGCATTTTTATGAGAGACGATGTACTCACGCAGGTAAGACAATTCGAAACAACAAAATGTAATTGACTTACCTGTGACCATTTTAAGACAGAAAAGCTTTGTGCGACTCTGATATCGAAAAAGGGGATAAATCATGTTTCTATATGTAGTAAATATCTCCCTCGAACACGTTATGTAGACAAGATTTACATTTTGTAGGTCTCTGACACCTGAAAGTTGGTTTACACTAAAACTTGGTCTATGTTCCCTTTGCAATAAATTATAATTCTAGTGGCAAGAGAGTTCTAAAGTCGGGAAGTTCGTTATAGTAAAAAACAAAGTAACGTGCAGAACAAAACTGTGTAAATTAATAGAACACTATGAATGATTGTTTATTATTTTAAAATTTGATAAATAACTGGATGGATGGATTTGATAAATAACTGGAATAACTGGATTGGATGAAAAATAACGATGGCAGCAAATTCTGGACGCGTCCTCAAGACTTTTGTACCGCGCCCCAGCAGTACAAACAAAAGAAAACAAAGCAAAGAAAAATATCTGGCTCACCATCACGGCTTGCAGCCAATGCACTCTCACAGCAAGTTACGTTCGAGATTCATTCCATTTTGCAAACATGCGAGAGAGGTTCTGAGAGTTTGCGCCAAGTAATTATCGTATTACCAAGCGCTCTCTTATTGAAAAGTGGAGTGGGGTGATTGCGTTGATGTGTCCGCCCTGATCGAATTCCAGGCTAAACAGGTTGCGGTAGTACATTTTTCTCGCACCATTCTTTTCTATTACCATTGTCAACTCTGTGTTAACGCATGGGCACACTCGATCCTGTATCCGGGGTCCAAAATTTCATGAGCCAGAAAATTGAAAACACTTGTTAAGCCACTTTGAGGCCATTAAACAATTGTAGGATACTTAAAAAGCAAATTATCAGGTATTTGCATTTTACTTTTTTGTATATGTATGAATACATTGAAGAATGAACATCAATGAAAATCCAAATACTATTCGTTCAAAAAATCTAAATGACCTAGTTTAAAGAAATATTTTTCCCACAGATTTCATTACGGAAAAAATTGTCTCATCAATATTGTACTTTTGCATGGTTTATTTTTTTGCAATTTTCGAAAATTCAGAGAGAAAATATATAATTTCTTAAAGCGATTTTGTTCAATTTTCGACTTCTCTGTCCTTCACTATCCATCAAACTCTTCTTCCTCACTACCTCACACTGTTTTTAACCTTTTCTTCCTCCGCCTCCACGTGCTCTCCCGCTCTCTCCACCTCTTCATTTCTCTGTCTCCCTGCCTCCACTTCTCCCTCTCTCTTCCTCTCCTCTTCGCCCTCTCTCTTTCTCTCCTCTTGACCCTCTCTCTACCTCCTCTTCTCTTTCTCTCTCCATCTCCTCTTCTCCCTATCTCCTCCACCTGCTCTTCCCCCTCTCCCTCCATCTCTTCTTCCTCTCTCTCTCTCTCTCTCTCTCCACCTCTTCCCACTCTCTCCCCTTCACCATTCCCTCTTCCTCCTCCCCTCCCTCTCACCATTTCCCTCTCTCATCAACACACTCAGTATTTCAAATTACAAATCTCATTCGTCCTAACTCCTACCATTTCCCCACCTCATTCCCTTCTCCCGAACTTCGAAACGCGCGTTCTTCTCCAATCGGACTCTCTGGCTGGAAGCGGTTGATTTGGCCTCGCGTTGTCAAGAGGGGAGCGGGCTCTGCAAAACCCACGAGCAGAACTCTTCCATTCGTTCGGCTGCCAGCGGGCGGCGGGGGGAAGGGGGGGGCTGCTCGCGCGCCGGAAGTGACGACCGCGTCGACCGCTCGCCACGCCCGCCCGCCGCCGGAAGTGGCACTGTGGCGGGGCGCGCCGCCCCTCGCCACACCGCGCCACGTTGGGCGTCGCAGCAGTCCCCGCGTCGTTCAATTTCCGATAAAAACGCCGCGTTCGACTCGCTGTCGACGCGAACAGCGGATCGCCATAACACAGAGAGCGAGCCCGTCCACAACCCCGGCAGCACGCTGCAGCCGAAAGCTCTTCGCTCTTGGTAGCCCGGAGTGGGGGTCGAGCGATGGAATATTTGTGGGAGGGAGAGAATGGGAAAGGGGTCGGAT